GCAGAGTCCGAGGTTGACCTACCCGACGATCTGCAGAAACTCAAGGTCCTCGCCGGAGCTCCGGAGCTGTACCCGGAGATCGTTGCACTGAATACCGTCCCGTCGATCGTGAACCTTCTGTCTCACGACAACGCGGACATTGCAAACGATGTCGTTCAGCTCCTTCAGGATCTGACCGACGAGGATGCCCTTGAGGACAATGACGAGCCGGCGCGTGTGCTTGTCGACGCACTTCTGGAGAATAACGTACTAGAGCTGTTAGTCCAGAACCTGCAGCGATTGTCGGAGACGGACCCGGATGAGGCCGTGGCTATATATGGAACTTTGTCGGTGATCGAGAACTTGGTGGAGGTGAAACCGAGTGTGGCCGAGATGGTCTGTGAACGGACTAAGCTTCTCCGGTGGCTTCTGGTGAAGATCAAGGTGAGGGAATTCGACGGCAACAAGCAGTACGCTTCCGAGATTCTGGCAATTCTCTTGCAAAACTGCACCGCGAACCAGAAGCGGGTTGGGCAAATGAATGGTGTAGACGCTGTGCTCGAGGCGGTGGCTATGTATAAGTCGAAGGATCCCAAGACTCCAGACGAGGAAGAGATGTTGGAGAACTTGTTTGATTGCTTGTGCTGTTTGTTAATGCCATTGGAGAACAAGGAACGGTTTGTGAAGGCCGAAGGTGTTGAGTTGATGATTATTATCATGAAGCAGAAGAAATATGCTTACGGGTCTGCAATTCGGGCTCTGGATTTCGCCATGACCAATTATCCACCTTCATGTGAGAGGTTTGTGGATGTTCTAGGGCTGAAAACAGCATTTGCTGCTTTCATGGGCAAGGCAAGTTTTTTCCTTCCCAATTCATCCCTCAGTTTATTTTGGCACAATCTAATGGCATGAAGGGAGTAGCTATAGCGAACCAATCACGTATTTGTATCTCCAATGCGAGCTTTTGTTTCTAACGAGGAAATGATTGCAGAACTTGAACCACAAAACTAGAAGATAAATCTTGATGCGTAGTGAATCGGTTTTGTTCTTGAAATGTTTAGATTCCACTGAATAAGAGTATCAAGAGAGAGCGGTACAAAGAAGAGCTTGAGGAGCGGGTTGTTTCCCTTGTTGCATCATTATTTGGTAAGAAGTCAGGTAGTATGTTTGTATTCAAATTTCAAGCATGTATTGCCCCTGTCATGTTTTTGATACTAACTTTAGTTTCGTGACTCTTGGTTATTTGTTGCAGCTGGAATTTTACGGGGTTCTAGAAGAGATCGATTGTTAAGCAAGTTTGTTGAGAATGAATATGAGAAGATCGACCGCCTTATGGAACTGTATATAAGGTAAAGTTTGTTCTTTAGTTTTAGCTTCTATGCAATAGTGCCATTATGGGAATATAGACTTAAGTTTTGTGCTATACTGTTAATCACCCTGCTTTGGTTTGATTTCTGGGCATCTGATCACAGAGTTGGGTTTGCTTTCTGAAGTTTTGTATGACTCTATCTACATTGCATCCTATTTACATATCCTCTATATCTTCTTCGATTTATGTCCTGTCTCTCTAATCTTCACTTTCATGGGAGTCATGGAGAAAGTTGTGTTGAACTGCTGTGTTTGCTTTTTCCAAATTGTGTTTCTGTTCATGTTGTTATTTTTATTTGGCAGGTATTCTGACAGGGTTAAAGCAGAATCCGAGAGGTTAGACCAACTTGAGTTTGATGATCTTGAGGTAATTCACTTTTTCAAAAAAAAAAAAGGTTAGCCTTCTCTTTTGGGTTCTGGTGTTCCAATCTGACCTCACTGTTTTTCTGCAGATGGATGAAGAGGAAAGATATAATCGGAAGCTAGAATCAGGCCTTTACACTCTTCAGGTTATTGCATCCGTTTTCTTTTCTGCTTTCTCTGGACAATGACGATTATATATGAGGTTTATTTGCTTCTAAGTTATACCCCTTGTGGATATGAGAGATTGCGTTTGGAACTACCTTTCGTCTTGAGGCCTGGTGCCGGGTTTCTATGGGTGTATGAGAAGTGTCTCTACACATGTACACAACCACACGTATAGATTACACAGATACACTCACATGGATGTATATATGAGTGTATACCTCTACGGAGTCTGTTCCAAGCATCTTTCTTATTGACTTTCTTGGTCTTGTGTCCCTTTCAAACCATATAATGGTCGTGTAAGCATATGAAACTCACTTCCAATCACTTCAAGCCTAAACGTTGTTTGCTACCACACTTGCAGCTTATTGCAGTGATTTTGGGCCACCTTTGGTGTTCTGAGTAAGTTACTTCCCATTTTATACATACTTAAGGCGTGTAGAGAATGACATTTTCAGTTAGTAATTTTATATTTGGTCATTGATTTGGTATTAAAACCCATGCCAGGCACTCTGGAATGAGAGCAAGGATTGAACTGCTACTGAAGCAACAGAAGCTTAGTAAGAATGACGTGAAACAGATACTTCAGGTCTCTATTACCTTACTTTCACAATCCTCACATGCTAAACCGCTAGTACGAGAAGTTCTCCTTGTATCGTAGTAACAAAAACTGGTGTTATCATGCGAAAATGCGACAGGAGTACCATGACAACATCGGGGACCTAGAAGGACCGGAGGAGAAGGAGCGTGCACAGGCGAGAATCCAGAAGTTCATTTCGGCCCTTTGATCCGCTCCCCACCACACCGTGTAGCATGTTGTGAATTTAACGGACACTTAGATTTCAATGGCCTTTTAGTATGGCGATGATTCAGATGGAGATAATGTATGTAACGGGAAATGCGGGGAAATCAGAGATCACGGGGTATTTAGTTTACTCAGTTTGGTTCGTGTACTCATTTAGTTGCTCGTCGATGCTGTTTGTCCATGAAAGAAGGCGAAATTGGTTCAATCCAAGCCATAATCCGACTGAAAATTGAAGCAAAATCATACCCCTGGATGAAGCTGTTCCAAAGTTAAACAAACAGTTTTCATGATGGTAGAATTTTCTCTCTCCCCGAAATACATTTACTCTACGGATAAGTGCTAACCCAATCTTGTCCATTTTCAATTGGACTTGTTTAGACATTCGTTACTGCAGAAAGTAAGATCATCTGCCTTGAAGACAATGGGGAATGGGCATCTCTTCTCACATCCAGAGCAGAACGGCCGAGAACAACTCCTGTTGGCTTCAACTTCACACTCGTCTCCCAAGTCGTCGCAATATCGACCAGGCTTCATGTGTCGGTCCACTCCGAGTATGCATTCGACATGGATGGTGATGCAACAATTGTCACAAGTGTACAACAGTACATCTTGATCCATTTTTCTTTCGCAGATCTCACACCACCAGCTTGTTGCACCTTCAGCTTTTTCATTGCCCCCGAGGGTCAGAATCAGCGGGTGCGTGTCATGCTTGTACCTCACCTTAGGTGGCAAAGTTACACACCTGAAATCCAGGACGAAGTCGCATTCGATACACTGCATTTTATGGCCATAAGTAACCCTTTTGCAGCCTGAACAAGCTCGGCGATCTTTCGATGCCGACGTGGAGAAAAGAGGATGCGGATGACTGTTATGTGCGAACGGCTCGGATACCGAAGCACAGTTCACATCTATTATGAAACTAAAATCCTTTTCGCAGCACTGATACGCAAAGCCACTGCTTATCCGCTCGCAAACTACGCATCCACCAATTGCATCCGTTATGAAGGTTTGTAGTGTAAGACGGTGAGGATGCAGAATGTACCATTCCTTTCGAGGTAATTCAGCACATCTTTCATGTAGAACAAAAATGCAATCTGACTTCATACAGCTGTAGGTATTACCGACATGGATACGGATGGGAAGCGCGCATGCTTGGCAGTGTTCGAATCCATCGACACTGGAACCTTCATCCTCGTTCAATGTAAGGTAGTGCTCGTGGCTGAAATGTTTTATCACGTTGTCATCTACAACCTCGAAAGGCAGCTCGACATATTCATCTGGTTCTTCGGGAACTCCCTCGAGGTCTTTCCCATCCCACAGATCCCTCCTGATTGCGCACATCGAATGGACGGCGTAAAGGCAACCATCCTTGTTGCAAGAGTAAGACCCGTAATTGCGGTCGATGGGTTTACGACAGACACCACATGACCATGATGCTGCAACATGATGATGATGATGAGGCAGAGGGAGAGAAGGGACGTGAGAAAGACGATGATGGTGACGGGAGATTCTGATGACGCGTGGTAAGTCGATACAATCCCTATGGACCATGAAATCACACTGACGGTGACAGACGTAAGGAAGAGACCAGTCATGGAGGAGACCACAGGCATTGCAGGTGAAAGGGAGAGGTCTAGGGAGGAGGGTAAGGGTATGGTCATGGCACTTGGGATTCCCTATATGAAGTTGAGGTGTCTTCTTGGTACAGTACATATGCATGAAGAATCTGCAGATGGGACAGTGATACGCTTCCCCATGGCTAAGTATTCTCCCACAACTATTGCATTGGACATCGGAATCATCGAGGAGGAGGAAAGTGAGAGGATGTCGTGGGTGAAAAGGGTGAATGATCTCCAATGGAGATTCAGCACATTCCTTGTGGTATGACTTGGAGCAAGTCCCGCATTTGTAAACATGATGATGGGTTCCGTCGTCATGATGATGTTCTTCACGAGCGCACATTTGGCAGCAGAAGGAGGAAGAGGTGCGGAAAGCGGTCAAGGGGTGAGGGTGAGTCGGGAGGTGGGCTGTCTCTTTCTCGGCGCATTTTTTGTGGGAAACCCACCATTCGCATTTTCCGCAGCGATAACCTTCGATCATGGAGGGAGAGTCTTCCGATTCATCAAACCTTTCTTCGCACATATGGCAGCGGTTCATACTCGAAATGTCGTCACAAGGTTTTAATGGGTGAGGATGAACTGAAAGTTTGACCATCTTCTCTTCCTTCCCCATCTCCATTCCTCTTTCTCTCTCTCTCTCTCTCTCTCTCTCTCTCTCTCCAATGGGTTTTCTTCTCTTTTTAGGTCCCAATTTACTTTCATCTGTTAAGTTCTGACTTGTGGCGTGGATCTCCATGTCCTTTTGTCATTTGTGTATATATATATATTAGAAAATGTCCTTTAAGTTCGTCACTCCACCGGTCGAGACCGGAGATGGCGGCCGATTCGATTTTGAAGTCAACGTTGACGAACGAACCTATTAGGAGATATCTGTTGTGCTAATCCCAACTAATTCGCAAGTTCTTTACCAAGTCCATAAATGACAACGTAGGCGTCGTGATGGAAGCCCAATAATTTAAATATGGGTCTAATTGCATAAGCCCATATAAATTCTGAAGGCCCAATATAAAAAGCCCAACCGAGCAATGGCACGGCCGTTAACATAGTTGCAGCAAACGCGCACCGGGAGCGCGTTGAGCGCGTGTCTACTAATCTGCCGGACTATAGTCCGGGCAAATCTGACGTTTTTTAAAAAACGACGTTTCTAACCCATCTTAGGCGCGTGAGCGAATATCTTCAGTGGTACGGAGAAATACAACAGTCGCCTTTTGGCTCTCACCTAAACTAGTAAAACGATACATTACTTGCAAAAATTGTAAATTAATAATACCAAAAATTTAACACCCATTTTGATGAAATGCAAATGCAGATGTTTGGACCCAAATTAGAACCTCAGTACATAAACAAAAGACAAACGCCCATTTCATCAAGCCTTCTCAGTTATTTATCCTTTGAAACTCTTATGGATCGGAAGCAACATACAAGAAAGTTTGTTTTTCCTTTTTTGGGTGGAACAACAGAGATACATACATGGAAACAATTATGTCGGAACAGCTGGTGATTCTGATGCTTTATACAAGAGAAGAGAGTGGGATGAGAGAATTAGCTCGACCTGACTGCTTCAATGGCCGCGACTAAGTCTTCGTATTTCGCCCCTGTTACTTCCTTTTCTATCTTTCCGTCCTTCAGAATCTTGAACGTCGGTACCACCCTTATTCCTAGCTCCTTCGCCAATGGCTGCATTTAAGAATTTCAAAATCTCGTGTGAAAAAAATAAAGCAGGCAGGCATTGTTGTTTGTCAAATGATTCTTCGTATTGGAGTCTTTTCTATTAGGAATTTGTTCTGATGACATCAAGCCAAACCTTGTTTTCTTGGTTGCAGTCAAGCTTCAGAAAGACAGCGTCCTGGTACTTTGTCGAGAGCTCCTGGAATTTGGGTGCCATCACTTTGCATGGACCGCACCTGCAGATGCCAGTATGGAGATTTCCATTTTCGATTGGAAGATCAGAGACTGTGATAAGTTCTCAACAGATAATAATCTACATTACCAAATCACACATTCAAAGGGGAACCCATGTCAAAAAACCTAAGATTAGGCCAACATCAATACCATGAAATACATGCCAATGCAGCGTGCAGTAGTAAAGATTCCAGGAGAAGGTACTAGAAGTTTGATACAGATCATTAACTAACAATATCTTAATCTTCGAAAATCTCTTCATTCCCTTTTCTTTTTGGTAATTCATACAATCCCTTCAAAGGGACTGTGTTTCTAGGTGCCAAGGGAAAATGGCAGAAAAGAAAGCTCCAACTCTGTGGTGTATCGTGAAATTATTACAGGTAAATAAAGTTAAAGCCAAAAAAAGCCTACACGGTGTTGAAAATATGACAAAAACTCAAGATATTCGAAGGCAGTCAGAGCCAATGGACATCCAACCTGAGTCGTTCAGATCAGTAAGACCATCAGAAGTGTTTTTTTTTTTTTTTTGATAATCCGGAAGTTCACTGGGCCTTTGCCCCGACTACATCTCCCAGAGGACCGGGGAAGCTCATGTGAATGTCCCTCCCCACGCTTGGGTTTGAACACAGGATGAGAGCATACTTTGCATGTTCTCTCACCACTAGACCACTCAAGCTTGGGTAAAGTGCTGAAGAACGAGGTCACAACATGATCACCAAGGCAAACGTGCAAGTTGCAAGCTAAAATGATGCCTTAATTCGATCAAGAATAGTTGTTCAGGCCACTAAAATCCCAAAGAAAGCAACATTGATGTGCATGAGTTGAGACTACTAGCTATAACTATGTCTTACACAATGTGAGAAGCATCAGAAGACAAGTCGGGCTAATGCAGAGATAAACAAGACACAACTCAGCAAAAAAGATGCAACAACTGAAATCGTATTAAGCAAGGCAAATTAAAGCACTTCTTCCTTAATCTACTCACACCACAAGAGTTTCCTTCCTTCAACAATCTCCAGGCATGTCAAGAAATAACACAACAGGAGAAAATTTTCAGAATTTCTCTTCTACAGCCTAAGTTTTCCCCCACAATACCCATTCAATAAGTCAACAAATCATGCGCTAATCCAGATTTTGTCTTCACTCAATTCTACATCGATTTCGCCATCAACGAAAAATCTAGAGATAGAACCAGTCGAATCTAAACAACAACTACGAAGTTTCAACAAGAGATCGCAATCAAACAAATCAGTTCAGAGTTCACATGACAGAGAATCTCTAGTCGTACCACTGAGTGTACATGTCGAGGACGACGATCTTTTCGCCGGCGGCTTTCACGATCGGCCAGAACGTGTCCTTGTTCACCTCCGTCACTACGCCGACGCTGACGTCTACGGTCTCTACGCTACACCTCACCGCAGAGGAACCGCCCCACTTCCGGGCAACCAAGGCACTACTCGAGCAAAAATCAGTCTTCCTGACGCCGGAGAACGGGATGCCGCAGTTCCTCGCGGAGCCGGGACCAGCGGCGAACGGAGCTGGAGATCGGACGACGGCCGGCGGAGAAGGAGAGAGACGGAGAAAGAGAGGCATTGCACGAGGTTGAGTGTAGAGAGCCACGAAAACGAAGAACAAATTCGAAAAAGGAGAGAAAAAAAAGGTTTTTTTTTTGTTGGATTGCAATCAGTAATGGTCGAACTAAGCTTATTTCTTTATTTAATTTATCTGAGGAATGTTACGATTTTTAGGTGAAGTAAAGACGATAATACCCTCAAGTTGCTCGGTGACAATGCCGGGTATACAAGGGTATTCACGTCTGTTCAATATTTGTGATCGATGAACGCGAGGTGCAGGTTCACCGGGGGAGATGACGCGATGATATTTTTCGCTCTTTGAAATGACGATTCTGTCCCTTCGAACGGTCCTGTTTTTGGTTGTTTCCAAAACTAGGATCGTGCTCTCGGTCAACAAAAAAAAATTTGTTATATACATATATATATATATATATATATATATATGCCATGTAAAATTTGGATTTAGTTAATATAATTATTTTAATAACAAAATCCAAATTTATAAATAAAAAATTATTGAACTTTATCTAATTCCACTTCACCTCCTCCCTCAAAAGGACACATACTTGCATGACTGTTGTAAATCTCTTCTTCTTCTTCTTCTTTTGGTAAAGGAAAAGACTAATAATTCTCTGTTCAACTTTTTCTATGACAGTATCAATCAGCTTGTGTCTCGTCCAGGGAGGTTGAGGAGAGAAGACGCAAGGAATTTGTGCCGCTGTGACAAAGAGGACCCCCTTTGGCTATGGATCTCCGGCGACGGCCTTTTGCGGCGGTGCTTTTTCTTTCCGCGGCGGTGTTTCTGATGGAACAGAGAATCCACGGCGAGGCGGCGGTGCCACCGGAGAACCTGGTGTTCGAGGTGAGGAACAAGTTCGCCGGAAAAAGAGAGAAGGAGCTAAGTGCTTTGAGAGCTCACGATGTCCGCCGTCACGCGAGGCTCCTCTCCGCCGTCGACCTCCCGCTCGGCGGAGACAGCGAGCCGGAGTCTATTGGGTCAGTGTCGTAAAACACGCACAATGCACACATGTACGTACGCTTTGTTGCGTGCAAATGCAGAACTATGATTGGGTTTTGCCCTTATGGGTTTGATGATTTGACTTAGACAGACCAAAGGAATAGGACAGATAATGGCTGTCTGTTCATGAGAATGGTGATGCAATTAGAAACACAAGTTCAGAAAAGGAATGTGGATGGTAGAAAGCTATCAACGTTTTTGCTGCTTCATTGTTTGGGTATAAAAGTCTGTAAATTTGATCTTCTGTTCTTGAAATTGGTTACACAAGTTGAAACACAAGCTCATGAATGGAGTGTGGAATGTAGAAAGATAGCTACTTTCTGTTCCCTTGTTGGGCAATATGATCTTCTTTTTCGATTTTGATTTGCTGGGTTTAAATCTCCTGATTCACATCTGCTAAGAACTAAGATTCCTCGGATAAAGATTCTTATATTGATCTAGGTGCACGGTCTGAACAGATATAACATATCTATTCATGTTCTAACCATGCCACATTTTTATCTTTCTGGCTGCTATGTCTTGGTCTGATTCCATTCAGCCTGTACTTCACAAAAATCGGGCTTGGAACTCCGGCAAGAGACTTTTACGTCCAAGTCGATACAGGGAGCGATATCCTTTGGGTGAATTGTGCTGGGTGTATCAGATGTCCAAGGAAAAGCGAATTGGGTGTATGCATCTTTGAACCCTATTTAACTTTATCGGAGCTTGATCTTTTGCAGCATCTTACCCAAGAAAAAAGTTTCTGTTTTTCTCTTTTTAGGTACAGCTGACATTATATGATAAGGATACTTCCTCGACAGCAAAGTCCATCACATGTGATGACAAATTCTGTTCCCTAATTAGTGAAAAATCCGAGTGCCGATCTGGTTCCACCTGCCAATATGTTATTGTCTATGGAGATCATAGCTCAACGAATGGGTACTTTGTGAGGGACATTGTGCATTTGGATCTAGTGACTGGAAACCTTCAGACAGGATCAACAAATGGAACTGTTGTGTTCGGGTATGTTAAAGCTTCTTTCTGTCTGGTAATATGACTGTGGGGTGAAACCTGAATTGCATGTGGTCATGTAGGTGTGGCTTTAAACAGTCTGGCCAGCTTGGAGAATCTGGATCTGCACTTGATGGTATAATGGGATTTGGACAATCAAACTCATCTTTTATTTCACAACTGGCTTCGCAAGGAAAGGTCAAAAGGGCTTTTGCTCATTGCTTGGATAATAACAATGGAGGCGGTATATTTGCCATCGGGGAAGTGGTCTCGCCAAAAGTGAAGAATGCTCCTATGGTACCTAATGAGTATGGAATGCCTTCTTAAGCTTTTGATTATGTTTCTTAATGCAAATATCCTCTTCTGATGCGGTTTTTGTTCATTATGCAATCCAGTAACAGCCTATAGATATTTATCATCAGACAAGAACTAGTAGTTGATCACAGAAACACATCGATGGAGGTTCTATAACACTTTTCTCAGAAAATTCTGCATAAAAACATGATTGTTCATTGTTTCCGTGTTTTCTCCGTGTGCCCTTTCATCGCTTTCCTCGTTCCTTTCTCATTCCAAACAAGGATGCTCTTTCCTTTCCGTTTCTATTCAAACAACTAAGCTTGGGGGATATAAAATCTTATATTATCATCATAACTGTTTACAGGGTTCATTATAGTGTTGTGGTGAAGGGAATTAAAGTTGGAAACAGTATTCTAGAATTCCCTTCAAATGCATTTGACACTGAAGGTAACAGAGGAGCAATTATTGACAGTGGTACAACCTTGGCTTATCTTCCTGATACTGTTTACGAGCCATTGTTGAACGAGGTCCGTGATTTTCTTTTATCGTCTTATATATATACTGTGAAATCTCTCAATCTTCAGCTAACAAGTTCTTTTAACTTAGATTTTGGTTGCTAAGCCTGGGATCTCATTGCACTCAGTTCAGGATACTTTTATGTGTTTCCATTATACTGCTGAGTAAGACTCTGTTCAATCAGCTTATATTGTTCACTTTCGTATTTGGTTTAGGCATTACTGCCATTCGGCAGGAGTCAGATTCATCGAATTAAACTATGTTTTCATGCCACGGTTTATCCAAATCTGCTCGGAGTATCGATTTTTTCATCAAGAACCTGTTTTCGAGTTTCTAAACCTTGGATAATGACTGTCAAAATCTCTGTCTTTCCTTTTCATCCTGCATTTTCAGGCCTGACAGCTTCCCTCCTGTCACTTTTGAGTTTGAGAATTCTCTTTCCTTGACAGTACACCCTCGGGAATATCTCTTCGAACTTCAAGTAAGTTTAGTTCATTTCAAACTGATTTTTACTGGTGAAAACCTCTTCCCTACTACTGTTCTTGTTGATGCAAAATGGGTACTGTGCACTTTGAAGAATCTCCCCAAGAGCTTGTTGATCAGAGTAAAAGAGAGTAAAAACCAGTTTTCACTGCTTTCCTGTTTCGTATCCATGACATTTTGACAGTCCCGACCAATATGATCGGAGATTCATTTTCAGTTGAAGAATTATGTTCAGTCAGTGTGTCAGCAACAAGAGAGTTTCTTCTTGTTCTAAACATAAATGGACAATGTCTTTCTGCAGGAAAACATTTGGTGTTTTGGCTGGCAGAATGGCGGAGTCCAAACTAAAGCTGGAGGATCTTTGACAATTCTCGGAGGTAATGATCCTCTCCCGAAATGGCTCTGTGTTCTTCATTTACAGTAAAACTCAACTCGTTCTCTCTCTCTCATATTTCAGCCGTCCTTTCATGCCGTTTGGTTTTGTGATTGGATGTGCAGATATGGCACTCTCTAACAAGTTAGTTGTATACGACATCGAGAAGCAAGTCATTGGATGGACCAACCACAACTGTAAGAACATTCCACACAGCTCTGTCTTAATGACACAAAAACACAAACGAACAGATTATTGTTACACAAGTTTTGACAATCATTTTGGCAAACAAATGGGCAGAAAACCTGATAAGTTTTGTCTTTTTTGACAGGTTCAGAGGGAATACAAGTGAAAGACGAAGCTTCAGGAGCAGTATACACAGTTGGTGCTCACAATCTCTCTTCATCTTCTTCTTTGATTGTCATCAAACTTCTCATGTTTTTCTCTCTGCTCATTACCCTCCTCTCTAACTTTACTCGCTAGTCTCAGACCATCTTCCAAGACTTCCTTTCTTGATTTTAACATTGTAAAGAGTGACTGTCTGTGTGTGTGTGTGTGTGTGAGAGAGAGAGAGAGAGAGAGAGAGGTTGTGACACAAAATTTGCATTTGAATTGAGAGACTTGCAAAGACAAGACGGAGAAATCCACCACCAGACAGGCAAATAAAGCTGGGGAGAATCTCCAGACATACAGGGGACAAACAACCCAGAGACCACTACTACATGATGTTCCTTCCTCTCTGGTGACAAAACTTGAAACAGCATATGCACCAACAAGACAGACATAGACAAAAGACATGACAAATGACAAAAATTCTTGAGTTTGGACTTTGGAGACAATGCCACGGCCAATGAAATGGACCCGAAAGAATTTTTTAACATAGAGATTTCAAGAAAGAAAAAGAATAGAACAGTACCTCATCACTTGCCTTTCCCTTCACTTCCAGGCACAAATCTTGGCAGGTTCAAAAGGGTATTAACTCTTGCAACTCCTTCCAACGCAGACCACTCGGTACCGTGTTCTGAATCCATGTTATCGTCCTGTATCAGCTTTTCTGCTTCGGTCTCGTCAAGGGCAATCTCTTTGCCAGTTCTGACCGTGCCTGAACGCCCAAGCCCACTTGGTTCAGATGCTCCAGTGCCATTCTCATGCTCTGGTTTGGCTTGTTGCCTTTTCGGTCCCGTAACTGAAGCTGTAGACGTCACCATCGAGTTGGAGTCCAGAAACAAGCAAACGACGGCACAGTCATCGACTTTGGAAGTTGGGTATTTGTATCTCCAAGCTCTAACCGCAGTCTCAACCAGGGCTCTAGCCGCAGAGCCACGTGCTGGAACCGAAGCCACAATCTCCACAACTTCTTCGTTTGAGAGCACATCCCAAATCTGACGATACGTATCACAGAAATGAGAGCCAGACATATCTATTAGATCAAAAAGGACAGGAAGTACAGTTTTGAGCTTTCTCTTTACCCCATCAGTGGCCAACACGATAAACTCGTCCCTTTCAGTTAAACGTCGAAAAGATACATCAGGCACAGAGATGAGGCCAAAATCCTTGAGGCAAAAATCACCAAAAGCACGTGCCATGGCAAGCCCAGGCGAGTCATTATTCGGCAGCCAAACTCTGGAAACTTCGGGTTCATCCTGGAGAGCAAACACTCGTCCTCTGCACTTCCTTATTCTTTCTGCCTCAGCTGTAACCAGATAAGGGAGAAACAATCAAAAGGAAAAACCCGAAATTCTAACAGATTAACATCCAAAAAAAGAACAAATCTTCGACTAAACAAGGCAGTTGACAATAATAACCTGGGAGATTTGGCTTGAGATCCACAGTCAGCTGAACTGCAACGAGAGCATTTTCATCGTTCCTCGTGCCCAACACAGCTCTTGAATCCCCGACATTTCCAACAACTAGATACCGACCCTATGATATATCATTGAGGTATATAATCAAAGACTACATAAACCCTAAATCGGAGAATGATTCCCATACATGCCAAGTAAATTTTTACCTGCTTGACCAAAGTTACTGCCGTTGTCCCACTGCAGAAACAGTCCACGTTTGCATGGAATTTAAGCTCTCTGTCCATAACTTTGAAAGCTTTGAGAAACGACTCTTTCAGAGTTCGAAAAATTTCAGGACAGTCTTCTGTATCGTCTAGGTCAACTGAAGGCCTGGATTCTTCTTCAGCAGATACAAAAGCAGCATCTTTGGAGTTCATACCGGCCTTGAGAGCATCCTCAACGGGTGCTTTCGCTTCCCAATGAGCACTTAATTTGAGAGGAAGCGAGTCTCTGACTCTCTTTGCAACCAAATGACCATATGGACCATGCCCATCAAATACTCCAGTGAAGATTGTATCTGCCCTTGATCCAAAATTCTGCAATGTTCAAACTCGCAATGAGCAAAGGGCAGAGTTGCCAATATAACAGGATTAATGCTACAACTGGTTGTTATACAAAAAAAAAAAGATATATGGAAGACATTATCGAGAGCTAACCTCCCAAACAATCATGGCATCCTGATTCAGACCCTTCTTGCCCTGTTGGGTGAAGAGTGAAGCGATCTCGCTAGATCCATTCAAGAACATCCGCCCAGGAATCCGATGCAGAGGCTCTTCTCTCCTGTAATCGAATGAGGAGTTTCTCGAACCGGGTCTCTTCTTCGAGTTCTTCCTCTTCCTCACATTGAAAGCAGGAGAAGCAGGTGAACCAGGACTCCTGCTCTCTGCAGACAAGCAGGACCCCATCCTAAGGGCCCTGATTATATCTAGAAGGCACTCCAGACCAGCAACACAATCGCAACCGCGCTCCAGCGATGAAGATGAGATGAATGCTTTAGATCCAGTGATGGAATTGATCACACAAGGATCACTTGTTAATTTACCGCAGAGATCTCTGAAAGAACACACCTTTCAGATTCCACAGAACAATATAGCAAACTTGAGAAAGCCAGAATCCTCGACTGGTCTCTACGCATAACAAAATTGAATATTATTCAAACCCAAATCTCCTCGTGTTGAAACCCAAAGGTCCAAATCTGTCAGCTCCGGATTTGAAAGAAACGCTGACTTCTCCGTCTGACCCTTTTGAGTCGTCACCCTGACGAGTCTTGGAACACTTTTCTCCCCTTTTTCGCAATAAAATATTATAAACTTAGTTAATCCCAAAAAAAAAAAGTGATGGAAAAGGAAGCAGATCTACGTAGAATATCAATGGCAACAGAAAGGGGGTGTACACACATACATATATTTGTGTGAACATCTACATCCAGTTCCCAGATTCGAAGAACACGCTTGCTATGGGGGGAAAACGAGAATCGAGACCCTTCTAATATTTTCTCTCTTCTTCTGCAATCAAACAAAGAGTAATCATCATCAACAACAAATGAACTCGAGAGAATTTAAGAAAAGAAAAAAGAAAAGAAACACCCAAAAACCACCTTACCGGAACAGATCAAAACAAGGATCTGGGCTTCGGATCAATCGAAGAAAGGTGAAACCTTTTTTGGGGAACGAAGAAAGGGGGGATTGATTGTGGGGCGAGAGAAGGAAGAGAGAGGGAGAGAGAAGCGAGAAGTGGATGAATTTAACGAGGAAGAAACGCAACCACCAACTACAAACCCGTTCTCCTTTCTCTCCACAAGGGAAAGATGAGTCACAATCATCCAAAAATCTTGTAAGCGATTTTTCTTGGGAGGAGGATTTTTTTTTTCTTTTTTTTTTCTGGCTGGCACAATTAGCGTGGGCTGGATAATTTAACGAGAATAGAAAAAGTTTGTTCATTGTTTTATAATTTATGTCCCCGTCACTTATTATTGGTGAATATCTGATCATATATATAAAAGAATTAAATTAATTAATTTGAGCAATTGATAAGTAAATTTTTTACAACACAAATAACTGGATTGTTTCCAAACAAACATCTATGTTATTCCAAATATATTTGGATAGATTTCTTTGATCCCTAATTAATAAAAATAAAATAGAAATGAATAGATTTATTTGGGGACACCTAATTAACATATTTCATACTTTGTTAATAGTATATGGAATTATATAACATTTCTATTGTTTTCGGCTTTAGCTGTATGCCAATATATATGGATCATTCGTAGGATTGTATCGCGTACGCCGACATGCACTCCAATGTCTTCTGCATCTTCGTTATTTAGCGTCTCTGCGTTTCGCCTCCGACCCATCGCACGTCTCTCTTCTTCCCGATTTTACCCTCGTTTTCTCCGCCTGACTCGACCCTTCGACGTTCTTCCTCCGAGGGCATATCCGTCTCTTCGCGCTTCCTCGGTGACCACCATGGCCGACTCCAACGTCGATGCCGGCATGGATGCCGTTCAGAGACGCCTCATGTTCGAGGACGAGTGAGTTGTCGCTTCTCGATTTTTTTTCCTAGTTTCTTTGGATTTCTTGGGAAAAAATTTGACCTTTTTGTGCGGTCTGTCTGGGATTTGGATGTTTCCGCTGTTTGGGTTCCGAGAAAATGGAGGATTATTGAGGAATTCTGGCGAAATTAGAGCTTTGAGTTTTGGGTTTCTTCCATTTTCTCTGTGGATTGCGGTCTCATTGTTCTACTTTTCTTCTTCCATAGAAATTATTCTTCCTTCGCCAAAAAACAAATCACTTCAGTCAGAAATCTGTGCCCAAATGTCGATTAAAAGTTTGTGACCTTTTATAGCTGTGTTGTGGAATTCAATTTAGAGCTGTATATGCGCATTCATACATATATATTTATATAGTGCACATGTGTGTGTGTGTGTACAGGCGGGTTTTTGATGTAGCTATCACCTAGTGAATACTTTGGGACATACTCCAGTTTGCGGATGGCTTTCTTAGTGTTTCTGGAGATATTTCATAACAATGATGAATGTTTGTTTTGATGGAAGTGTCGTGTCAAGAATTCGTCCATCAATTTAACGAGCGTTTCTTCGATTCAATCTTCCTTGCAGATGCATTCTCGTCAATGAAAATGATCGAGTTGTGGGCCACGACACCAAATATAACTGTGAGTGAATTTCCCTTTGTTTCTCTTTCAACCTCTCATGATGAATGATAAGCCAAGTCAGCCATGTTCTTGCCTTTCCTCGGAGTAGTACATCGGTTTTGGCAGCTGCTTTCTGATGTGCTGTTTTGATCAATGTTGTTCTTGCATATCTCAATGCAGCTGTTTCCCGAGGTTTCCGTCAAATGTCACACTCATGTGCACATGATCTATACAAACATATCTCTATAATATAACTCTGGTGTTGATGTTTTGTCTGCTTAAATCCGATTGGTGGTGGGCTCATTTTGTCATGCATGAAGTATGTGTGTAGTTGTGGCTATTATAACTTCACGTCCCTCCCATGTAACATTTATTCGTCATTCAGAAGATCGGGGTACAATGGGATACGTTTACTTGGCATTTCTGGATAGTGTAGGGGGCATTTCAAACTTGCAAGTAACTTCTCTAATTGTGTTGTAACTGTTGTTGTTGTATCAAATCTGCAGGCCATCTTATGGAGAAGATTGAATCTGAAAATTTGCTACACAGGGCTTTCAGTGTGTTCTTATTTAACTCGAAATACGAGTTACTTCTCCAGGTAATTGAAGATAAGTGTAGTTTAGAATATCTGTTTCTCTAGATTATCTGTTATATTATATCTATGATATTCTCTAGGCGGGCTGGGGAAGTTGATTCAATCATTTCTCCTCTGTTAGGATTCATAGAGTGAGAATGTTTAAACTGGGCATGGAAACATCTTTGTAGGGAGGGGAAATGCTTACAATGTGAATTGGGTTACATGCTTGTGTCTGTATATGCATGCGAAAATTACACTGCTTTTGCATAATATTCTTGTGAACTCAACCGGCGGTTTTGTCTTGAATCTTGATCTGCTTCTGCTAGCTGTTTGTCATTCTGTTGAAATGTCTTCTCTTCTGATCAGCAAAGGTCAAAAACAAAGGTCACGTTCCCTCTGGTGTGGACAAACACTTGCTGCAGCCATCCTCTTTATCGTGAATCGGAGCTAATTGAAGAGAATGCTCTTGGTATCTACCCGAAAACGGTTTTAATAGTACTCAATTATGATTCGGGGCTTCATTGTATTCACCCATCCCGGTGTTTACCAGGTGTTAGGAATGCTGCTCAGAGAAAGCTCCTAGATGAGTTGGGTATTCAAGCAGAGGATGTACCAGTTGACGAGTTCACTGCCTTGGGACGCATGCTTTACAAGGCTCCTTCCGATGGCAAGTGGGGAGAGCACGAACGTAATATTCTATTTCCCGTTCTTGGAACTTGTTTGTTTGCTCTAATATTGACCGCCGTCGATGCTTTTTTTATATCTTCCATCAGTTATACTGCAGGTATTTGGGTTTGTGGATTGTGGATTGTAAATGAAATCTTGTCTTTTTAGATGCATCGGAGGATTGGTTGAATGTAGTTGATAGGTCATTTGGCTCAATTTTATCATGCCTACAAACATGGAGTTTTGTTTTGCAGTGGATTACCTGCTGTTCATAGTGAGGGACGTAAAGGTTAGACCGAACCCAGAAGAAGTGGCGGACATAAAGTACGTGGATAGGGAGCAGCTGAAGGAGCTGTTGAGGAAAGCAGATGCTGGGGAAGAAGGGGTGAAGCTCTCTCCATGGTTCAGGTTGGTTGTGAACAATTTCTTGATGAAGTGGTGGGACCACGTCGAGACAGGAACTCTCAAAGAGGCTTCAGACATGAAAACCATCCATAAGCTCCTCTGATCCGATCTTGATGGGGGGTTTTGTTTTATTCATTTATTATGATTACTGTTATTATCTGTCTTTTTTGCTTCTCTCCATTTTGATCTTGAAGATTCTGTCTCTGGTGTGGCTTTCATTTCCACGGTGTCAGTTTCTTCTTGGACAAGGCACCCTTCGCGTTCTCTCTTTCAAGAACCCTAGCTTGGGCTTCTTAACACCGTTATAAACGTTGTCCTTCCCTCGTTGTCTGGTCTCTTTTTTTGTATCCTCTTGTCTACCAGACAATACGATCTTCACCACCTGGTCACAGACCATACCGCGGTCTTCACCACCTGGTCGCAGATCAGACCACGGTCTGCTGCACCACCAGGTCACAGCTTTAACCGGTCGGACGTGACCAGACGGTCCAGATCACACGATCCGCACCATCCTGTGGCGTGATGATGGGAATTCATTCATGTCAAAGATCATCGGTATTATACATCTAACATCACCTTAATCCTAAGTTTATTTGGGATCAATCGCATGAATTCTTTGTTTTCACTCGTTCAGGTATTAAAAAGATCATTGGTGTTATGACCTAGAAAAAAAAACTTGGATTTATTCAGAAACATCTTTTAAACACGATCAAAGACAGCAAAGAACGATCACACACACCGACAGGAAGATATGAGACTGATAATGATGAAGCAAAACAGGATTCAACATTTACACTGGCAGACAGCGGAACCAGGCCGATGCTTGCAGTAACCGCCGCGACCGCTGCCGCAGCCTTGAAGACACGTCTCCCTGCACCTCATCCTTTCTTCCCCCGTTTCGCACTTTCCAAATTCCCAAAGGTTCTTGCAACACAACGATGATCCCGACAGACTTCTTGCAGCAAATGCCTCTCTCTCTTCACCAAGCCCTTCTTCTGCATCTCACAAACAAGATTTGATTTTTTAAAAACAGAAAAAAAAAAAGGATTTTTTTCCTTTTGTGGGTTTTGCGAATTAGGTTGGGACTAACCCGCGAGCGCAAGGAACAGAGCGAGGAAGACACAGAGAACAAGTTTTGAGGAAGCCATGCTTGTGCCTCTCTGATGATGATGATGATGATGATTGTTGATGAAGATGGTTTTACTTTAAATTTGGTTTATTTGTTTGGGATAAAAGGTGTAAAAATCTAAATTAAGAAATTAGATATCTTTTTCCTCATTCGCTAAAGATTCCTATTTTTAATGTCTCACTAAAAACATTGATTGTACCAAAATTCTTAAAGTACCAAATTTGTTTACCGAAATTGATTTCCCATAAAAATCGTATCTAATGGAAGAAATCAATACATTGTGGACTTATATTTTTAAATATATATTTTTTCAAATAAAGTAAAAATTAATATCGGACTCAATAAAATCTAACTAATTTCAATAAAATTTTAAATATTTTTTTTGGGATTAAAAAAAAAAAGGAAATTCCAATGTTGACGTGAATACATTCATATGTTTCGATGCGTTTTAACTTTCATGTTTCACGCGCGTCGGATAACAGCTAGAAACCCTAACTGCGTTTTCCTCTCGGGTGAAGCTCTCTCTTCCAAAAATGGCGGCGGAGAGATCGTCGATCACTCTCGGAGGTAAAGGCTCTTCTCTGTCTTCTTCATCTGTCTACAAGGTAGCTTCCGCTGTCTCTCAGGTACGAATCGACTCTTCTGCGTTCGATCGTCTCTCCTCCGCGAAACCTCAACCTACAAAGTCGACCTCTTTCGCTTTCCCACAAGCCCTAACGATCGAGGAATTCCGCGCTTCTCTGGTTGTTCTCCTAAACAAGCTTCTCTTGTCGACTTCTTTGTCTTCCATCCGTACGGTTCTTCCGGTTTCCTTATCGGATAGTCTGAATTCGAAAGCTGGAACCCTTAATTTCGGCGGAATTGATGTGACCGATGGGGAATGTACTGTGTTGGAGAATGCATTTGCTCCGTTGATCGGGATTTGTTCTGTTGTTGATCACAAATCGGCGGCCTTGTCCCAGATTGTGGACGCTGTTGCCGCCTTGTCTTGTGAAGCCACTAAGAGCGACGTATCGAGCTTTAGTTCCTTGGATTCAGGAGATGGGTATGGCGACAAAGAAGCCATTGCAGTTGCTGGTGATCTGAAGGTTTTGTTGAACGGGTCCAAATTTGCCGGGAAGAGGGAAAATGGAGCCATTTCGAAGATTCCGAGAATCCATGGGAGATTCCGGGATATGGTCAAACAAGTCCATGCTGTTGCTCGGATTGAGCTAAATTCTGGTGTTAAAGGAGGGAAAAGTGGTGGGTCCGGAGACTCTGGGACAGGAGAGGCATTGGGAACAGCATTGTCGGCCTTGTCGGTGGCGATCAAGAACTTGGGAGAGTGTTGCCTCCTTCGTTCCAAACTGGTATTTGAGTCTATTGAAAATGAGGCCCTTAGGAATGACTTGATGGGTTTGTTCCAAAAGAGCGGCCTTGATTGCAGTATGCTGAAGGATGCCCATAAGTTAGCATATAGTGCCCTCTTTGAAGAGGACTACTGCAAATTTGCTCACCAAGTGAATGAGCTTCTAGGAATTGTGTGGAAACTTGTTAGTTGGGAAGCAGTGGCTGCATTTTTTGCCCTTGAAGGGGGAGAATTGGTGAGTCAGAAGGGTGCAGATGCTAATGGAGAGGACTCCAAAACAACTAAGAAGAGTGACAAGAAGAAAAAGAATGAGAAAAAGGCAGTTCTTGGGAAGGGAACCAGCGTAATTGTCCAATTTATCAAAGAAAGACTGCTCAATAAAGAGACAATTGGTGATCAGGTGGAATCGTGGAAGATATGGGTGGAGCAAATCTTACTTCTTTTGAACCCCGAGGATCACAGCTTTGATAGCTTTTTAGAGAAAGTAAAGGAAATTGTAGAAAGCAATGAAAGCAGGAGACTTCCCAAGCTTCCAAAGGTAATTACAGAAACCAAATTGAGATGCCTTGTATTCTGCCTAGCCCTTTTCTTAGAAAGCTAGGTTACAGTTAAAATAAAAAGGCATAATAGTTTGACCTCAATAATCCCTACTTGTGTCAAAGCTTCTGGAACTCCAATGCTTTATCATTTCTGTAATCCTTGATAGGGTACACGTGATTTTGCAAAAGAGCAAATGACAGTCAGAGAAAGAGCATTTTCAATCATACAAGAGGTTTTCAAGAGGCATGGTGCAACTGCCCTTGATACTCCTGTTTTTGAATTGCGAGAGACGCTTATGGGAAAGTATGGAGAAGATTCGAAGTTGATTTACGATCTTGCTGACCAGGTAAGTCCTTTTTTTTTGCAAACAATCAACGAGCTGCGTTATAGTGTCAATTTGTTTTATCAAGAAGCCGATTAGTGGATGGGAAAATCCTCAGGTAATGTCTTCTCGCTTCTAATAATGGCATGCTCATGCATATTTCACAGGGAGGAGAGCTTTGTTCTTTACGATATGATTTAACTGTTCCATTTGCCCGGTATGTTGCTATGAATGGTCTCACATCATTCAAAAGGTACCAAATTGCGAAGGTGTACAGAAGGGATAATCCATCTAAAGGAAGATACAGAGAATTTTATCAATGTGATTTAGATATTGCTGGTCAATTTGAAAGGATGGGACCAGATTTTGAGATTGTCAAGATTTTGACAGAACTGCTTGATGAGCTTAATATTGGAGACTATGAGGTAACGAGATATCATTTGTTTTGTTCCTGATTTTGATTTCTCCTCGACTCTCCTAGGCTGTGTATAGAGGTGAAGAGTAAATCCGTTTCATTGGATAGGTAAAACTCAATCACCGGAGGTTACTCGATGGGATGCTTGAAATATGTGGGGTACCCTCTGAAAAATTCAGAACCATCTGTTCCAGCATTGACAAGTTAGACAAACAATCGTTTGAGCAAGTAAAGAAGGAAATGGTAAAAATCTTTGTGATCATCTATAGCTTTTGCAAAGTTCTTTTTTTTTGTTGGTTCCAAGATATTTCTGGTTGACTGATTTCTCCACAAATATTCTTTAGGTGGAAGAGAAGGGCTTATCCACCGAGACAGCGGACAGAATCGGTGGTTTTGTTAAGGAGAGGGGGCGACCTATTGAACTACTCACAAAGCTCAAACAAGAAGGGAGTGAATTTATGGCTAACAAATCGTCAACAGAGGCTCTTGAAGACTTGAGCATTCTGTTCGAAGCTCTTGAAAGGTCAAACTGCAGTGACAAAGTGGTTTTTGATCTGAGTCTTGCCAGAGGCCTTGATTACTACACCGGCGTAATCTTTGAAGCTGTCTTCAAAGGTGGAGTTCAGGTAAAATCCGGCAATTCTCGATTACCTTAAAAGTCATAAAAACCGCCATTGTTGACGATTAGAGTTATGGAAAATCTCTACAGGTTGGATCAATAGGTGCTGGTGGACGTTATGACAACCTTATAGGAATGTTTGGAACGAGGCAAGTTCCTGCCGTGGGCATGAGCCTTGGCATTGAGCGAGTCTTTAACATAATGGAAGAACTTCACAAGCAGCAAAATCAGGTAACTTCCAAACTTGCTTCGTCCCCTTTCGTAGTTTTTACAGTTTATCTGACACAACTATGTCACAGTTCCATAGAGTTATACACACGTTGCACAGTTACACTTCCAAGTACTTGCTACACTATTGACTAAATTGTGTCAAAAGTTTTGACAACCCTTTTGAAAATGGAATCAGATAATTCGACCGACAGAAACACAGGCGTTGGTTAGCATCATGGTAGAGAATAAATTATCTGAAGCTGCAGAATTGGTAAGTCAGCTTTGGGCGGCAAAGATAAAGGCAGAGTACCTAGTCACCAAGAGGAGAGCAAAACACTTTGACCGTGCAAAAGAATCAAGAATCCCGTGGATGGTGATCGTCGGTGACCGGGAACTCACTGAAGGTGTCGTGACACTGAAGAACATGGAATCCGGCAACGAAGAGGAAGTTCCCAGAAGCAGTTTTGTCCAAGAACTATCTAAACGGCTGAACCCTTAAAAACTTCGTGAAGCTGATTTTTTTTTAACATGAATACTTTTAAATCCTTTTGTTCTGTTTCAATTTGGGTCTTGTCTGTATTGGAACTACAGCTGCCGAGACATTTTTATGAGACTTGTGACGTATTTCGTGTTAAGAAGGGTTTTGGCGAGTTTGTCAGAATTCCGACACGTGGCATGATGACGTCACTCCGTCTCGCGATATGGCTGTTGTTTGTTAATATTTTACGTTTATGTTATAGTCCAAGAAGAGATTGAGGGATGGGATGCATAATAGAATTAAGATGTTTGGAAACTTGGGCTTTGCTTAACACAAACTCTAAACGAAACCATACCCCATGTCCCATGAACTGCCAGGGGCGGGGTGACGTGGACTCTGACATGATTCGCGTGGGACCCACCGGATCTTTTATTAACCGGACTCTCCCACCGTGTGCTTTATGTCTAAAGCCTTTTTTGCCTTTTCTATTTTAGTTTTGAGAAGAAAAAAATAGAGTTAGAGTCTAAAGAAGGCAAGTGGATAAATATATATATATATATATATATATATATATATATATATATATATAGATTCCGCCATTTGAAAGTGAGCGGTTCGGAATCTCTAGGAGTCAACAATGGGCGTCTGAAAGTGACAACAGAGCAAGCAGTCTATTCTTAAATTTCTTTTAACCCAAACACGAAAACTCTAATAATTCCACGTCCAAAACCTTAATCTCTTCCTTCCCCTCGAATTAGACCACACACACACGTGTATATATATATACATATATATCACGTGTTCTTGACCACTAAAATTGCATAATTTATCTTCAACTTTTTGGTATGCTATTATTATATAATTGCATGCTGATTCCAAAGAAAACAAAAGACAGAGACTTGGCTGCTGTTGAATTCCAAAAGTGCTCGACTTTGGAAGGCACTGCCTAGTTGTTGTCTGAAAGGCAAAAGGAGAGAGAGTCTCTCTCTCTCTCTCTCTCTCTCTCAATGTTTGTACAATCACATTATCACTAAACGACTAAGTGGGGCGTGACCCATCAATCAACCGAAAGAATACCGACTCTCTGCCAGGGATGCTTTTGGGGTCAAGGTCAAAATCGAAATCTCTATGAACACAAAATTCTAAATCCTGCAAAAGAATCCTCTGTATAATTTGGGGGAGTATAAGCTAATGCTAGAATAAGAATCTGATAAATGTTTCCAACCAATGAAGAAGAAGAAGAAGAAGAAGAAGAAGGAAAAAATAAGATCTAAACGAAAACCCAACTAATCCTCTGAAGCTCAGCAGCCATTCCTAAACTTTGGCGGCTTGTTGTGCCTTCTGGACGTTTTCCTCGTCATAGAGCAACCGTCTCTTCTTCAGGCCGTAACCATGGTAACGGTACATTATGCTGTAGAGACACTGCTTCAAAACCAATATATCGAAATTCTGGATGAACCTCAAATCGGTTTTCCTCGACTTAAGCCCCGCAAACTTCTGATATTCCTCAAACACCGAAGATATGCACCAGTTCTGCACTTTCCTCAGGCAACCCACCAGGCAACCTGTCCTGTGCTGCATTCACGGAGTTTACAAAACGCAACATGAGTCCATGTAATCACACAGCCAACAGCTAATTACAAAACCAAAAAGAAAGGCATGTTATACCTTGCCACGCTTGCAATGGATGAGAACAGGATGATTTCTTACATCTGCAAACAAGCAAGCAAGCAAGCATGTCTACATAAGAGACCATAAAAACATCTGAAAAAAAGTATGTTGTGTTTTGAAGGAACCATGTCTGAATCTGATTGCTTGCTTGCTTGCTTACCAACTAGGACTTTCAGAGCATCCATGACTGTGTCCTCTGGCATCGGATCCTATCAGTGATATCAGTAACCAAGTGAACGCATATTCTTAAATTGCTTTTGATCAAAAGAGGCAACGGACCCACAATCGAGTTTTGTCTTAATCATATAATATATGCAGAATCTCAAAGAAAAGATGAGAAAGATATACCATTTTGCCCTCGATTCCGAATTGGAAAAGCTTAATGTTATTGGACTCCAGGAACTTCAAGTTCTCCTCCGGGTATAGCTCAGGGCACATATATCTGTTTTGCAGAAATCCAACCAAGAAATCTCGTTACCACTTCCATTTTTTCCCCATGAAAATATTGAAGATCAAATCTTTTTTGCTTTATTGGGGATAGAAAAGAGACATCAAATCTTCTGCAGTCAATTCAACGACGTATGTTTAAAAAAATAATCAAATTCTGAATCTTCCATTCAACCAAAAAAAAAAAGAGAGAGAGAGACGTAGTCAAACTCATCGCTTTCAGATGTATATTCAGGAAAATCATGATCGTAATGCGATTAAAGAAGAACAATGCTCGAACAAAATACCCAGTATCGAAAAGAAACGAAACAAAATTAAAAAAGGAAGACGAGTTTATGCTTACATGATGGATCGAAGATTTAGGGTTTCAAGGTAACTGAAATTAGCAGGCTCGGGAAACCCGGATCGGTAAATGCCGTCTTCAACCATCGAGAAATTCAATGGCGGCACGAGAAGCCCGTCGCTTTCGTTCTCTTCCACAATGAAACCCATCTTCTCCGACGAGAATTCTCCGCGGAGCCTCCGATCAATTACTGTTTCTATACTCTTAGAACCCAAAAACAGAGAAAAGGAGAGAGAGATTGAGATTGAGATTGAGAGAGGGAAGAAGAAATCGAAAAGGGGATCTTTAAAAGGGATCGATGGGTGATTTTTTTCCTAGTTCTAATCAAAAAAGGAGACATGGAAAGAGACTTTGGATTGAATTAGGAGTTATCTTAGGTTTATCTCCGATTTGGCTAAAGCACCAAACCGCCATTTTACTGTTTGTTGGATTCTTCCTCCTCTTCTTCCCCTTCCCCCCTCTCTCTCTCTCGCTTTATTTGCTCCTCCGGGAATTTTTTATATATACTAATTTTTTGGATCTACCTGATCGTGACACGTGTCACTTCTGACGGGGTTGTTGGTTCTGATTAGACCGCGATAACTAAATCCTCTGAATTTCTAAAACGGTGGAGTCATCATTCTCTTTACGAAATCAATAACTAAAGCCGAACAATGTTCTATTTTTTAATTTTTAAAAAATTATTAACCTTGTAAAATAATTCAGATAAACATTGATTACCAACGAATCTAAATTAATTTACATATTGATAGAAATATAAAAATCTATAATTTTTTATTGTTGTATCTATTTTCAATCTAATGCAAATATATTTTATATTATTAATTTATTATTGAGATTGGTAGATTAATAAATATGATATGTTTCCATGTGTCTAAAAGATAAAAGTTATTCTGATTTGTATAGATACAAGTTAATCTATACTTTTTAAGATGAATAGATTAATAAAATTGTATTATATGGTTTTAACGGCGTTAACCGAATGACAGGAAGTTGTGATCTCCGTTTAGTTCTTGATTCGGATTTGGTGGAACAGCAACTTCCTGAAATATCCGATTATTAAGGATCGGTTTTAGTAACGTTAATGAAGGTTTAACATGTGATTATGTTGTGTTTATTAATGTTGATAAGATTTAATTTATTCGTTTATAATAAAATATCTTCGGAATCTCTCGTAACTTTTAAGATTGTGTCAAATCAAGAAGAATCCGGTTATGTTCGTTACTTATCTTATCACCAGTTAATTTTGTTTTTTTGTTAAAGCAGTTAAATTAATTTTATCTCAATATATATATATATATTAAGTAATTCTATTTAGTTTTCAATAAATAATTAATTAATTGAACGCAGAAAATAACTCAAGAAGAAACCGCTCAATGAGATGCATGATTCAAACAAATAATAACACATTAATTAATGGACTACGTACAAGGATTTAAAACAATCCTCATGAATCCAACATGACCAGAATATAGACCATTTTATCCCAATAGCAATCTATACATACATACATTCGCGTGGATAAGTATGAATGGATACATATATATATATAGATTCAGGCGTATAATATTTACGTAGTAGGATTAGGGCATAAACTCGGGGGAGATGAGATCTTCCCAGTTTCTGCCGTCGGGACCAAGTGTCAATGTGTTCTCCCAACCGATATGCGTCACGTGTTTCACGTTTGTCGGCATCCCGATCTCCATCCCCAACTCCTCCACCATCTCCTCCTCCTCCTTGTACGCTACACATATATATACACATATACATATATACACCCATCACCATCATCATCATCATCACATCGTATTCAATTAATTTCTACACGAATGAGTTTGTTTCCTTCCACCGTACGCATTCTTTATCGATGCACGTATAGTTCATGCATGCCGTAGATATCACGACGAGGTTCTCGTGACTCATTCTTTTAAACAAGTTTCCGTCAAATAAAAATAACAAGAAGAAGAAAAGCGTACCGAAGAGCTGAGAAACGGTCTTGAAGCTCTTGAAAAGACGATGAATGCCCGTCGAGATTTCGGGTTTCGAAACCGATAGGTACTTGAATACGTTCTTCATGTTCTCTTCCTCCTCTTCACGAATCTCTTCTCAACATAAATCAATCCGATATATATGTGATTATATATACAATATATATGTGTATATATCTATATTGATTGATGGATACCTTGAGGAGGAGAAGTGACGGAATGGGACTTGGATGATCTTTTATGGGAGTCGCAGAGTGCAGCGACTGCAACGCTTGATTCAGAAACGCACCCAACAGAGAACGGAAGCACAACAAATCTTTCCACTCGATCTCTCATTGTTCCTCTCACCAAATCAAACTCTAGCTAGGGTTTGAAGCTACACCCTCGAATCCTATATATATAAGCACATACACATGTATGTATGTGTGTGTGTGTGTGTAAGAAGAGAGAAAGAGACAGGACAACCAAAAGGGTTTAATGGGTCGTGATTAGTTTTAATCATTTACCACTCAAGTGTTGTGTTTCTTTCGATGCTGCCTTTGCTGCGAAGTTACAATGATGTTTACGTGTGCTTAAGATTTTGTGGTTTTCGGTAGAGAAGAAAATGGCACTTTACGGTCTCAACCGCAGGTTGGTGGAGTACTTGGAATAATATACGCCTAAGCTAAGTTTTACATGTGAGATTTGATCATATGGTTGGTGAATTTTTATTTTACTTGGACTGTACATATATATATATATATATATATATATAGAGAGAGAGAGAGAGAGAGAGATATACACCACAACTTGATCAAATTTAGAATTTGTCTTTTTGAAAGAAATCTGGAGAAATTACATATGTTACATCAACTGCAACAAGATTCACTATCTTGTACAAGATGCTCATCTGTGTTTTCACATGCGCAGCTTTTTTTGTTCCCATGCATCAGACAAGCTTCAGACATAACGACAGAAAACAATCGTTACTGACTCTGGAAATGTGTTTCAGATAACAGGATAAGCCCACCGGCGTCATCGTCTCTCTAGATGTTATGTTTTAAAAGTTCTTCAGTCCTCTCATATCTCTCTGTGTATATGTATATATCCATCCATGTGTGTGTGTGTGTATAGCTTCGGTTATGGCTTTCCATCATGTTGTTTCAGTCTCGACGAGAAGAAGCTGTTGTTGCCTCTGATACGCTCCGGTGCAAAGAGCCACCTTCCTTGCCCGAGTCATCATCACCACCACCACCACCATCATCATCACTGTCGTCGTCGTCATCATCATCATCATCCGAGTAAACACTTCGGTGGTCAGATTTAGAGCTCTGTGTGTGCTCAAGTTGAAAATGTTCGTCGTCTTTTAGAACACTGCTGTTAGTTCTGCCACTCGCTTTCCTCAACGAATCATCTCTATCGCTATCATATCGTGAGGAAGTGCTTTCCTCATTCGATTTCTGGCTGCTTTTGTTGCTTAGCCTCCCATTTTCTTCCTCCGAGCTGTAACTGTACTTGATTCTCAAGCTCTGAGCCTCGTTTTTGTTATCACCCGATCTTCTCTCGCCCCCTGAGCTCGAATGGTAAGATTTCCCACTTTTTCCATGATTGGGTGCCTCGTCTTCATGTTCATCGTCAGAATGGGAATCAGACCCATCATCTGAATCTGTTGCGCTATCTTCGTCCCCGTGCCTACTTACGCTCTGACTCTGAGTGTATTCGTGATGAACAGAGGACCCTTCATCTGAGTCACTACGTTTGTCTTCCATTGCAGGATCAGGAGTGTAACGAGAAGTTACAGAGAATGAATCATGACGGCTCAAGGCAAGAGACATACTCTTGTCCCTAAAAGACAAGATGGGAACCGCAGTGGGAATACCATCTTCTGTAGATATCGAAAGGAAGCTAAGGGCAACCATGACATCGCTTATCAAAGGGCGTGCACCCGCTTCTTCTTGCAGGCACATTGACGCTATTGCCACTGCTTGGTTCAATCCTCTTTCCGAAAAGTTTTTCCTGAGCAGAGGATCCGCCATATCCGGGTATCTTTTCGGGTCTTTAAATTTCGGTTGTGCCTGCTCAAGACAACAACATAAGCCCAGATCATGTTACTAGTGTGATGAAAGGCTTGAACCAACCAAGAATCAAAAGAATGAAAAGTGATCATAGCTACCCAAGAAACTAGATTCTGTTCATCGTTAGGTTTGGTCGTGTCAATGGACTTTCTACCAGTGATGAGCTCGAGCAGCACAACTCCGAAGCTATACACATCTGATTTGATAGAGAAACTGCCCCCTCGAGAGTATTCAGGAGCACAGTAACCATAAGTGTCCATTACTCTGGAAGAAAGATCCGTTCTGTCGGCGGAGCCAGGCCCTAGTTTATGGATACCGAGGTCACAAAGCTTGGGGGTGAACTCCTCGTCCAACAATATGTTGGAAGCTTTCAAGTCTCGGTATACGACAGGTGGATTCACTTTATCATGCAAGTAATCCAGCCCTTGTGCTGCACCGAAGGCTATCTTCATCCTCGTTATCCAATCCATCGGCTTCTGGTTTGGCTTTGGATCTGCAAAAGAAGCCACATCATTCGGCCCTTTTGTTTATGCTTCAATGGAATAGACATCTGAGGAAGCTGAACTCATTTGATAGATTGTAAAACGAAAAAGGTTGAAACTTGATTGATACCATGAAGATGGTCTTGAAGAGAACCTCCAGAGACGAATTCATAGACCAAAAGCCTTTGGTCTCCATCAGCACAATAGCCTACAAGCTTGACAAGATTCGGATGATCAAGTTGGCTTAAGGTTGAAACCTCGCCTTGAAACTCTTTGTTCCCATCACGGAATCCATGCCTGTCTAGCTGTTTCACTGCCACTACCTACACTCCCACCAATTAACAGATAATCTATATATTAACACAGAATCCAAATCATGACGATGAATGCACACACACACACACACACACACACACACATATATGTCCAATGTCTGTAAACCCTTCCAAATCATGATGACGAATGTAAGCACAGATTAAGAAGAATGTTGAAAACCTGTCCAGAAGATTGAAGGGTGCCTTTGTAAACCCTTCCGAACCCACCTTCTCCCAACAAACATTCTTGTCGGAAATTTTTCGTGGCAGTAGCTAACTCACGAAACGTGAATGTTTTCACGTTCGTTCTTACATTCTCCACCTTCTCTGTCTCAACCTTGTTCCCTACAAGAGAGAGAGACGTAGGATGGATGCATTTCGTCGAGCACCTTGAACTGGAAATGCGAAGAGAAACAAACCCATTAATCTGATGATGAACAAAGGACTTACCAGCAGGTGGTCTGGGTTCGATCACATTGTCGTCTTCAGATTCAAAGTCCTGTTTGCTCGGCGATTTCTTGCTCTTCTGGGAAGAGAAACAGGGGAAACAGTTCATGGTGAGTTGCATCAGAAAAGCGAAAAGGGGAGGGGAGATTTTTGGTGTCGGGAATGGAATTGAAGGCCGGAAATGGCGGGGGGGTCAATCTCTTGAAGGACCCCCGCGTTAAAGGGCAGAAGGAACAATAATTGGAAAGAGTTAAATTGAAGTGTGTGAAATCTCTGACGAACTCTGCGACAATAATGGGGGATTTTTTAATGGACGTTTTTCTTTGATCAATCCTCTCTCTCTCTCTTCCCAAAAGCATGGAGAACCATTCTCATCCGTTTCCTGTAAAACCTAATTTTAAGATTTGGACAAAATGGTTTTCACGTAAATCATGGGACTAAAACAGAACACGACAACATCTGTTCTTCCAAGTCAAGTCCTATCAGTATAAATACATGCATGCAAAATATACATACATATGTATGTGCCAATACATATAACTCATTTTGTGAAAAGTTCTTTTATGCGATATATTCACATTCCATTTAAAAACAAATTATAAATAAATCGATTTTCTAACGTATTCGCTGGCTTATAAAATGATTAAAAAAAATTCCATGAAATTATTATTACCTTATTGTCACTGTTTAACAAAATATCGTTTCAAAAAATCTTACAAAGAATTAAATTAGAAAAATGATACGATGACACATAAAATTATAGAAATTAGAAATGGCAAAAATAGCAAAAGAATATCAAAGCCCATTAGGCCAAGCAAAGTGTATCTAAGGCTATTGGGCTACAAATGATTGTTGAGGCCCATTATCTGTCCGGCCCATTTCGAACATCTAAGTTTCCCGCCATTCCTAGAAAATTAACCGCCAAAAATGAAATCTCCATTTTTCAAGGTGAAGGGGAAAAAAATGACCTAATGTCTGTCTTATAGAGGAAGAGTCCACGGTGATCGGAGGTGAACAACAATGGCGTCGAACGTGAATTCAGCTCCGACTGGATGCTTCAAGTGCGGCCGTCCCGGCCACTGGTCCCGTGATTGCCCTTCCTCTGCTCCCAATTCCGGCAATCCCTCCTCGTCTTCTTCTCAAAACCCTAGCAATGACCTCCAGAAGTCCTCCTCCTCCGCCGTTCCGAAAGCGAAAGTGCCGAAGACTAGAACGCCGAGACCGAAACTGACTCCTGATTTGCTTCTCTCTGACGATGGACTCGGCTACGTTCTCCGCTATTTTCCTCGATCCTTCAAGTACCGCGGCCGGGGGCGAGAGGTGAGTCATTTCCTGCTTTGACTTACCGATTAAATCTGTTCGTTTACATGATTTTTTCGCTTTCTCGTCAATTCACTTGACCCAGAATCGGATTCGGCATTTTCGCCAATTCCCCCTTATGAAGATCGAGATTTTGGATATATGTGTCGTCTAAGCGCATTCGATCGGAAAATAATCTCATGTCTGTGGTGTCTCTCTGATGATTTTCTGTGTACGTTTCATAGGTAAGCGATTTGGGGAACTTGATCCGATCGTACAGTGAATGGCACTCCCATTTACTCCCTTACTATTCTTTCGATCAATTTGTTCACAAGGTTCAACAAGTCGCTGCCACAAAACGTGTGAAGGTTCTTTCTTTGCTCGTCTTTTCTATCTGATTAATGGATTTTTTTTCTTAAATAAGATTTACGTTCTCTATTGTCAAGAAATTCCATAATCCTAAATGGAGGCTTTTACTGGTGCTGAAGCTTGAATGGCCTAAATTATTAGAAATCAAGGATCTTATTGCCTGTTTTGGTGTGTGATCATTGTGCTGATAGGACTCGGTGTTGTTAATTTGCCCCACACCTTCATCTTAACTCCATTGCCATGCTTAGACTACCTGGGGATTTAAGAGTAGATATCCTTTTTAGGAATGTGGTGTATATCTTAACTTCTTTGCCATGCTTTCTTTCTTTTAGATATGTGTAAATGAACTAAGAGAAAGGGTTGCCAGCGGAGTTGATCCTATGAAGTTGTACGAAAATCCGGTTGAAGACACCGTTCCCTGTGATGATCAAGGTATATGAACACATTGCTTTTCCACCGTGTTTTTTCCATCCGACTGCTGCTTAATATTGGAAAATAGTGGGCTACTTAAGTATTAGTGTAGGTTCGACGCTAGTATTGTCAATTGATGGTAAAATATATATTGAGGGCAAAACTGATAAGAATGACTGTAGCTTTTGTACTCATTCTTATGGGGTTTGTTCTCAATATATAATTTACCACAAATTGACGAGTACAATGATAAGAATGAGTACAAAAGCTACACTCATTCTTAATTAGAAATGCAAAACTATACTCTGATTGGATGGCAGTGAAAATGCAACAACTAAACAGTCTGGAGATACGTGTTTTTGCCGTCGTAGTTTACTCAGGGATGGATAAGGATCGGCACCTGACTGAGGGTCAGGACTCAGGATATTATGCACGCGAAGCTGTTGCATGATTTTACAAAACTAGGAAACTTTTATATTGGTTCTTCTGAGTCATATCAACGCTAGCCTGAGAGATATATTTGCTACCGGTTGCAGGTAATCAAGACTTGGATCAGCCATGTCATGACCCTGTGAATGGGCCATCAGATAGTGTTGACCCTGATTCTTTTCAGGAGGTTATGCTGAATGAGATATATGGTAATGCTATGGATGTAAGTCATTCTTCATTCTTGTTCTTCATCTCTTCTCCGCTGGGAAAAAAATATACATTTAGGGTTATTTTAAGTACGCATACTAGCTTACAGTTTTAATGAGTGATTCAGCAATAGTCTAATACTACATCTGTACCGTAACAACCACGTTCAGATCATGATCTCTCTCCCTTCCCAGTGATTTTATGCTTTCTATAAAGATCGGTTCGTATTTGCATTGCACTACCTTTAAGACGACAACTTTACAACCAAAGGAGAGAACACCGGCCGTGGTGTTGTCCTTTGTGTGTGAATCAAACTGAAGGGAAAGTGATTTTTGATGGATGTGAACTGAAGCAGGATACCCGTCAGGCTTCAGACGGAGAAGCAGATGACAACGGGGAAAAGCCGTTGAGTAATGGATCAAACGAGAGAACTGAGACGGCGGGAATGGATGAGGGAAATGGGTTGAAGGGAATGGAGAGAGCTCAAGGCATCACCGAGGAGCAGAAAGCACGGATGGAAGCGAACAGGTTAAAAGCTCTTGAGAGAGCAAAGGCTCGCTCCATGGCCCCAAGGGTTTAGCTCCTTCAATCACTAAATTCACCGTATCTTCTTATGTTTTGGGGTTATTAAAAAAAAAAGCTTCATATATCTTATACCATCTATTTTGATGCAGAGTTCTATAAATGTTATGTTTCTTTTTGGCACTGTTTCTCATTTTAAAAAAAGCTGAGCGCAGACGTGAAGCAGCTTAGAATGGAAGGAAAACTTTTGGAGCACCATATATGTAGATTTCATTTATATATATATATGTATACATCTTTGCGACAGTAAATAATGCAGTTCCTAAATAAGTTCATTAGTGGCATCGATGGTAGTGGCTGCGATAGTAAATATAAATATAATATTAGAATATTTTAAAATTTTAATAACAGCTATGAATCGATTATAATTTATTAAAACATACAGTCGACTTTCATGTGATATCGGTTAAATCCCAAAAAAAAAGGCAGCAGAAAAAACAAGATTTTTTTTTTTTAAGATTATAAGAAATAACTGTCAAGGGCAGCACAAAAAATAACTCAGCAAAAAAGATACGGAGAACCCGGAGATATATCACATCCCACGCGCTTGGTATCGGTCGAATTCTAGGATTTGCCGAAAACAGCTGATTTTCCCGGGCTATAGCACAGGGAAATTGGGCGCGTGTCTATTACGCGACTATGGTGCACGTGGGATTCGTATTGCGACGCCACTCATTTTAAACGGGCCTAATTTTTTAGCCCAACCTGGCCCAAGGAAACTTTTATAATTATAAATATACCAATTTATAATCAATCCGATAAATAAAAAATTCGTTTCAACGCAAAATTTTATTTTCATATTAACTTGTAGACAAATTTTTATTAAAAAATAAAAATATTACATATGAAAACCCAAATAATTTATAAGATTTCTTATTAATATTATATTCGTTTACGTATGTGTGTTTGTTCATGTATATAGTTTTTATATTTTTGAAGACTACTTGATATGTATTTTCTGTTTTATACATTTGATGTTAAATTACGGAGAGAGAGCAGAAACCAATATTAAAAAATAAATAATAATGTAAATTAAATCGTAATCTAACTAGACTTTTTTTTTTTTTTTACAAAAGATGGTTTATATATGTATATAAGAGAAAAATTTCAAAGCTATCAAACAAGAGATTTTGATAACTTAATTAGATTTTAAATAACAAAATAGACAATTGTATAAAAATAGATAGGTGAAAAAACAATTGTAAGAGATTAAATTGAAAAATAGAAATGGTGTGGGAAATATGGGGCCGGAAATCCGGTTATTAGCCCACGAGTCGGGCGTGACGGATTCTCCAACGGCACTCGAACAGCTGTTTCGGTTTCACAACCTTTCTTCAGTCAAATCGAATCTTAAAACGTAATCCAAAACCCCAAATACCAAATCTCGCAAAATTGTCGGTTTCTGCTGTTTCCTCCCAATTCTTGTTTCGATTTCTGATCAAAAGAGGGAAGTCAGGAACTATCCTCGTGATGGTGCAAGAAGAGCACGGATCGGCGACTTCCACCGGCGGCGATGCCGGAGAAGTTGTCAACGGCAATAAAACCGATCTCCTGTCGGAACAGAAGAGTCTCTACTCCGTACTCTGTCGTACGATCGGTTCGATTCTGTTCTCCGATCCGAAATCGCCGACCCCTCTGCTCCAACGCATCAGGAACTCTCTCGCCGACAATGGCGAGGACCTTCGAGAAGCTTCTAGAAAAACTGCGCATGAAATTCTTCTCTGGACTCGGAGAGGAAGCCCTCTCCGTGCTCTGCTTGTCGTCAGTGTAAGTAGGGTTTTTAGTTTCTTCAATGGTTCTGTATTGGATCTTCAGATTCTGCGATTGATTTCGGATTGTTGCTTGTTTCAACTTTCAAGGGATGATTTAGTCTCCTATTGCTGAATATTCTGTGTTCTTGCCAAAAGTCCTGTTGATTCTGTAATCCGCCATTGGTGATTGTTCTGTGCATGATCCGAATGGGAATTCACGTGAGAGATGCTACTGGTTAATGATTCAAAACTGCGAATTGGTAACTGATAAAAGGGTCTAGCTCTGCTTGGGTTTAGGTTTGCTATGGATCAAAACACAGTTTGCTCAAAACATAGAATCTATAGGATCGAGTTATGTTTTCTGCTGTCATGTCTGTTTGATCCGTCTCCGTTGGAAACCTCTTTAACCAGAGTTAACTCTTGTCCGCTCATGAAACTGACGCAGATTGGAACCATCCTTCTTCTGACCGCAACGGGATTGCTTGTATTCATGCTTTTCTTCCTGGCAGCGACAGCCAACGCGATCATAATCTCGCTCCTTGTTTCTCTGGCCGCTGCTGGAGGGTTTTTGGCCATTTTCTTTGTCTGCGTGACCGCTATATACATCGGGGCCTTATCCATTGCTGCATTTGTCATCTCTGTCGCAACAATATCAGCCGTTGTATCTGTTCTGATAGCTTCAGGTACCACCACCACCCCCCCCCCCTTAATCTCTCGTTTATGATAGAACTTAACGATCTATTCGTGGAAACTTAAACCAACACAAGTCTAATAAGAAGAACAGAGGTTTCAATGAAATCCGATCCAAGAACAAGCCAGTGTTGTCTCTTTGAATGGCCTGATCCGAACTCTTAAGATAGTAATGCTGCGTATCCAAACATCATACATTTGTCAGAACCTAAACGGAACATTGAGTTTTTCTTCATCTTTTTCGTATCCTTTGGATCAACAGGTTGGATCGGGTTTTTCTGGGCGATGTGGTTGACAGCGACAGGAGGCATGCGGATGGCGAAGCAATCACTCTCAGTGATGGGATCTGCAATTTCGGCAAACTCTCTCACTCGCCATCGCCATGAACGGGAAGTAAAGGTCGCATTAAACTGAAAACAAAAAGGTTCCACAATCTCCCTTGCACGTCGCCCCGCTTTGCTTTTCCAGTCACTTGTGTAATGCGCATGCCATTTGAGAACGAACACTCAGGAAGCATGAAGTTTTGGGTCTTAGATCCCTCTTGAACTTTGTCTGCTGTAATTCTGTCGTTTGGTTTGCCATTCATTGTAAGCTCTCTTTTTCCATGACGTTATATATATACGTATATATATATATGTATATTTCCTTATATTGATCATCGCGCATTATGTGGCTTGGTTTGTCTTTGGTCATTTTGCTTCTGCTTCTTCTACTAAATGGACAACTACTCGGCTTCGGTTTGTGCAACATGTATTCGTATGTATGTAAATACTTGGGAATGCGAATGTCTATGATAGCTACACACATATATATATATATATATGCATGTATGTAAAGGCACAATATGAAACATTAACAACTGCATATATATATATATATATTACCTTAATTAGCCTTTATGGGAGAAAATGGGCCAAACAGGCAAACATATTCCGAATAATCAATTAATGTTAGTTTTTTTTAACTAATTAATAATAGTTTTGTCACATGAAAACAAATGCTAGTTTTGATATAAATAATAGTCATTCTTTTAAATATTAGTAACACTATTATCGACGTTGTATTATGTAATAATTTTACTAATATATCATATCATTTTCTAATTAAATCTCACTAGGTGGTATAACCACATACTAGATAGAGGGAACACAGTATTAATTTACTTCATATATATAGATATACACACATGTTTTACACAAGAAAAATAAATATAGTGTGACCCGTCTTGTATGACATAAAAGAATATGTTTCTAGCTAATCATCAGCCAATCAAAGTTCAAGATCGAGTGGATCACACCGATATCGAGCTCGAAACCTGGTCAATATTTTCATCTCGATGGATATGGATCCAAGCTGCAAGATCTCACGTACAAGAGCTAGTCGATATCAAGCTTGAGTATGGTCAATATCAAGGCCAAGATACCATGCCGATATCGAATTGTGTGCTCGATATCGAGAATCTCCCAAGGTCGATATAGAGGTTGCTTGCTCGATATGGCCTTCGAACTTTGATTCTCGTCCATTCCTTGCATGTTTCTCATCCCGCACTTCCCTTGACATTCAATCTTGGTCCAATAAGTTCCTCGAACTCCGTTTTTGCTTCTTTTTTGTCCGATTAAGCAAATATAACTGAAATTCCATCATAAAGCAAATAAAATGGTATTTATGCCTAAAATGTAATCTAATTCATAATTTTGTATAAAATATGAGGTAAAATGTAACTAAAACAATAGAAAAATATCATGCAAAATTGATGTTATCAACTCTTTTAAACTTAGACTTTTGTTTATCCTCGGGCAAAACTCTAGAAAAATACACTAAAAAGAGAGAATGAGAATAAATGGTCGAATTCATGTCAAGAACGAGATTCTTGTCTAGTTATTGGTACCATTGAACGAAATCAAGTTTATTCTACTATGCTTTCTCGTCCCACGTAATGATTGGCAGCTAAGGATTTTGTCTCCATTTAATGTCACTCATATTGTTCTAACTATCAAATAATCTCTACTATATCATTCATATGTCGTCTATCCAGCACCCTCAAAAATATTTTCTATGCATGTGACCTATATACCGTAGTTATATGCTTATGTAAATGCAATTCTAAAGCCATCTGTCATGCGGAATATGCAAATGAGAATGGGAAACTAATGCAAATTTATGCAATTTTTTGAAATTTTTTAATTGAAATGCACTAATGCATAGAAACGTGAAATTCAGTTGCTAATAATGGAGTTGTTCTATGTTAGACCTTTCCCCAAACTTGAATTTGGCATCGTCCTCGGTGTCAATCCACACCGGTGGGGTTCAAACCGATAAAATGTGAAATAAGTAATAAAAGAACAATAATGAAATAGGAGAGAAAGAAAGCTTAGCTCAATATAGTTCGCGTGTGTGTTGTCTCTCCTTTCAGGGTTTGTTCGTGTTCTCCTTTTACTCTGTCTTTTCTTTTGAATTGCATGCTTGTTTTTGCTATGTCTCAATTAAAACCAAATATGCTAGAAACGCGTAGTTAAAATAATATCTCATATAAAGCAAAAATCCAATGCAAGTCATAGCAATAAAGCAGTCCAAAGAAACACAACAAAAATAATCCGTAAAAGCATAACAAAATCGGGGTTAACATAAAACAACAAGAAAATAGGGGAGATCTATGTAAGTCTAGTAGAAATGATCATCATGTTTCTGGATCATCTGTCGGGCCTGGGACATCTCGACTAAACCACTTCAAAGTTCGGATACGTGGTTGTCTAGTGAGCTCATGGAAGCGATAACACCGGCGATCTATCGAGCTAAGCCATGATATCGAGAGTATTTCCCATCATTTCATAGTCTTTTTCCCTCATATATTCCAGAGAATATATTATCATGGTGGCTTCTATCTTAGTAACAATTGGATTCAAGACCCCTGAGGAATTAGAAAATGCACATGGAATTGTCATGGTTATTACAACAGTCCTCTGTGAGCTTTATCATGTTCATCATATGGAAGACAAGGGTATTGTGGATCCTAGTTTCTTGAAGTTGTTTGGGTCTATAAAGACGATTTTCTTATCATGACATACAAGTTTCAAGACGATGGTTATATACCTATTATGTAATCAACAATTTTGATGACAATAATGATAGTTTGACATTACATTGGGATACTTAAGCATCAGTATGGTTTTAAAGAGAGGTTATTCTCTGATGGATTCACCTAGGAATTGGCTCAAACCCTAATGTCAAACGCACTCCGCACATCAGAATCTTGTATGTTGAGATGACAAATGGTATCTCGCCATTGCTTTCACGATACATATCGAATGTATTGTCTTTTCACTTGGTGTTCATCATGGTACTAGTCAAGGCTCTTCCAATGAGTTAAGTAGCTCTAAAAAAGCGATTTGCCTTTCGGTATATGAAGCCAAAGGAATTGATGGTGTTTCAGTGTGGTGTACGATATGGTTATAACGATGATATTATGGAGGTGAGCGAATTTGAGAGAGTTCATTACCACTTGAAAGAGTTTATTTAACGAGAGGGCTACATTTGCGAAGAAGAACGGTGAGATGAAGAAGCCGGTGCTAGAAAACAATCGTGTGAACAACATGAGATAACATTATAAGGAAAAATATGTGAAGACCAACATGTTTTATTGAAAATTATAGAGGACGATGATGTTTTTTCAGAGAGCATTCCATTCTTGTTAGTACAAAACTATGAGGAAGTAATTGAAAAAGAAAGAGAAAACGGTGTGTTTTACTTGATGGGGAAAACAAATGTGATACCGTGTGAATTTATCAAGGCTCAAGAAGTCTGTTGTTGATAACTTTTACAACTTCTTGAAGAACAACTGCCGAGAAGGGGAAAAATAATTAATTTTTACATCTTATTAGATGGAGTGTTGGACTTATTTAATTATTTTCTCCCCTTCTAGGCAGTTGTTCTTCAAGAAGTTGTAAAAATTATAAACAACAAACTTCTTGAGCCTTGATAAATTCACATGATATCACCTTTGGTTTCCCCATCAAGTAAAACACACCGTTTCTCTTTCTTTTCAATTACATCCTCATAGTTTTACAGTAGCATGAACGGAATGTTCTCTGAAAAAGCACCATCGTCCTCTATAATATTCAATAAAAACATGTTGATCTTCACATATTTTTTCTTCTAATGTTATCTCATGTTGTTCACAAGATTGTTTTCTAGCATCAGATTCTTCTTCATCTCGAGGTTCTTCTCCACAAATGTAGTCCTCTCGACAAATAAACTCTTTCAAGTGATACATGCTCTCGCTCAAATTCGCTCACCATCATAATATCATCGTTGTAACCATATTGTACACCACACTGAAACACTATCAACTCATTTGGCTCCATATACCGAAAGGCAAATCGTTTTTCTAGAGTTACTCGACTCACTAGAAAAGCCTAGACTAATACCACGTTGAACGCCGAGTGAAAAGGCAACACATTGGATATGTATCGTAAAATCAATGGATAGATACCATGGCACATCTCAACATACAAGATTACGATGTCTGAAGTGCGTTTGATATTAAGGTTTTAAACCAATTCTCAAGTGAATACATCGGAGAAAAACCTCTCTCTGAACCTATATTGATACTTAAGTATCCCAACGTTATGTCGAATTCTCATTATTGTCATCAAAATTGTTGATAAAGTAATAGATAGATAACCATCGTCTTAAAACTTATACGCCATGGATGATAAGAAAATCATCTCTATAGACCCGAAAACCATTAAGGACACTAGTGTCCACAATAATCTCGTCTTCCATTTGATGAGCATGATAAAGCTCACGAGGATTGTTGTAATAATCATGACAGTTACCATGACAATTCCATATGCATTTCCTAATTTGTGAGAGGTCTTGAATCCAAATCTCACTCAGACAGAAATCACCATGAGAAGATAGTTCATCTATGGAACATAAAATTGTCCTTTATGTTTGGTAAACGTGTGAACAATCCTAACATTAGAAAAA